TATATATATATATATATATATATATATACAATATGTCTTTCTTATAATATTTTCTATATCCAAGCGTTTCCCAGTTTTTTACATTTTCTATCCATTCTGTTTCATCTGTACTTATTTCGTCCATTTCTTGACAATTCCATATGTGTATTATCTTTTCTTGCTTTTTTTCTTTACAAATTCTACATTTTTCTCTGTTCTTCCGTAATCAATTTTTGTACATAACCGCACCTTATTCTTGCTGTAATTAAAATTGTTTTCATAACTTTTCCAGTCTTTTTTCAATATTATATTATCCTTCCAGTCCTTTTCCTTCTTTTACATTTTTATAATAATCTAAATATATAGATTTTTCAATTTTACCTCAACTTCTTTGCAAATTTCTTTCATTTTCTTCATATCATTTCTATAATTTTTCGATTTTTTTTAACTTTTCTTCTGTCATCCCACACGTTTAAAAATTTCAATTAAACGCTCTCTTCGTCTTAATTCCACACCCCAATGTTCTAACGGTAAGTCTGCGGACTTATAATGCTTAAAAATCGGGTTTTCGTGGTGTGCATAGCACAGCGTATAGATTTGCGTTTAACTACAAACAAACATTCCAGTTTCCTAGCTATTTCTTGTATTGTTTGTTATTTCTTTTACAATTACTTTCAGACAATGTTTTAGATGTCTATCTTCTTTCATCTTCAATATGTTCAAGATACGTGCATAAATTATTTTATTGTACTGATCGCCATGCCGGCTCTTCCTTTCTCTATCTACCAGATGTAATTGGATGTGTTTTTTATCTAGCCCTATGTTCATTTTTTATGTTTATATTATATTTTATATTCCTTTCTAAAACGTCAAATTTCCGCAGTGTAGTTAATAATATAATGTACTAGGTTTTCAAGTAAGTGCAATCGTCTATCCATATCTTACGTTTGGCTTCTTTAAGGTGCACTTCACGTTGCATTTACTGGTCATCGTACTTTCGTTCCAATATATATGTTTCGTTGTCGTGTTTCATTTGTTAAACCACCATCACAGATATTTATACTTTTTAACCACTTCCATCTGTTGACTTTCCATTCATTTTTCAATCTTCGCTATTTATCCTCTCTTTCTAGAAACCATAATTTTTAATTGCCCTAAATTTGAAGTTAGTTTATTTTTCACCGCATATGTTTCAACTATCCTATGCATGCTCTTTATTTCCTCTGGAAATTCTGCAGCTATTATAACGTCATCCGCATAGTTCCGACAATTTTGTTTCAACTATCCCACTCCCCCATTATTTTTCTCCTATCCATTAGGCGTTTTCTTTTAATTATATTTATAGTTTCTTTAGATATTTTTTCATTACATAACGTTCCAAATATTCATATTTTCTCCATTTTTCAAATGATTTTTCTATCCACATTATCAAAAGCAGCTTTAAAATTTTAAAAATGCATACAAATACTCTCTTTTTTTATTTGTTTTCCACCAAGACGTATAAATATAATCACTTGGGCATAGCCTTTCCGAAATTCTATTTGGCTTTCCTTTATTATTTCATTTCCTT